ACATACATGCGAAACAATAGCGACGACAACGACAAGGGGTGGATCGGGGGCGTGTTTATGACACTGAGCAGATAAGCGTCCAGTTATAAGCCGAGATGAAGAGAAGCAACAGATTTATATACTTGTACAATATTATCTGGAGATGCCGTCGCTGGCCGGATGATTATCCGGGAATTTTTTCCTATATAAATATATACATCCTCCTCCACCGCATTGCATTGTTAAATGCAGTATATATTATAATATGGTACATCGTGTGCGACGGGAACAAACTTTCATATCGGCAGAACATGTTGCAAGTATATACCTGCACAAAAATATATACGAATGAAAAAAAAAAAAAAAAAAAAAAAAAACATTCGTACTCAAGAATCCGTTGATGTGTTCAATGAATATTTAACGCACGAGATAAAGGAGATTCGTCCGGAGTCGCCAACCGGCAAGAAGGTACACAGTATATATATATATATACTTACGTGAACACCCCCCTGCATCGGCTAACGCGCGTGGAGAAAGAGCCAGAGTCGTCTTTGGAGAAACAGGAAGAAATCCGTCTCTATAAAAGTAGGGAGCTATCGGCTTAACCGGCTCAGTGGTCGCATCTTCCCACACCAATCAGCAGGGCATCGTTGCAAGGATACAAGAGAGAGAAAGGCAACTCCCCCTCCCCCCCCGAGAGATAGTTTCGAGACTCTAGATACCCCCGGGAGTTTTATCTACCCCTCGTGTCTCTGTACCGTATACGTCTCTCTCTCTCTCTCTCTCTCTCTCTTTAGTTCTAATGTATACGTTCCTATATACCACAGCTATTACGCGTGCAGCTGGCTTTTGTTCTTGTGTCTAGCTCCTACTGCCGCTGCTGCTTATTATGTTACACTGACTATATGTATATAATGTATACTGTTGCAACTTGTAATTGTAGGTCTTGCAGACTTCCGATCCGTGTAAATGTGAAAGTGGCGTTTATCATTAAATTTTGTTCGGTAACCATTGTGTATGCGTTAAGTGTATACGATCCATGCACAGCATTGTGGTTGTTGTTCGAAGTGATGTCATTGCAGTGTCAATCAGTGTTGAAAAAAAAAAAAAAAAAAGAGAGAGAAACGATGATTGAATTTTATAATGCAAACATAAATTACGTCTTCTTTAATCTGCTTAAGGTATTGGGTTTATTGGTCTCGATTCATTTATTTAGTAGCGGGGCATATCGGTTACTTTGCTTGAGGTACGTATAGTATTATTATTATTACTATCATCATGCATGTGTGTATACGTAATAATGGATACGCGCATGAATTATGAGAGACAAGTCAGTGATCATTCGAGTATCGGATACGTATACTATTATACTACTACTATTATTGTTGTTATTATTATTATTATTATTATTATTACAACCATTACCGGGTGACCCTCTATACGTGTATAAGTACAGGTATATATAGGAATAATACGTATACATCGTGTGCATGGTCATCGGCATTGATCTCGTATGCGTGTACTACGGGTGCAGTGCTCATTGTAGCACGTAAATGACCAATGTGCGCACAAATGAGATGACTCCAGACACCTTTCACCCTCGATCCCTCCAGGATTACCCTCGAAAATTCACTCGGCCCTGGATGTACGAGTATTATAAATTTGTGCAAAGTTGGGGTCCGACCGAAAAATAAGCAAGAAGTTTCAGACTGTACTCGACTCGAGAGCGAAAAAGAGATAAGGGGTGGCACCATAATGCAGAACAGCATGTTTATGGGGATCTCCGGAAGAGAAGAGAAGAAAGACAGAAGCGGCGGGGGGGCGCTCGGGTGCTTTGGCTCCCCCCAGTAGGTACACCGCGCCCAAGTGGCCCTTATTATTACAACCCATGTATTTACATCTATGGGAAATTTCGCTTAAACGTTGCTTTATGTATTGCAGGCCGAGCCGAGATAGAACACCCGCGGAAAGCAGCAGCCAGGGGGGAAACAAACGGAAGAGCGCACGACCACGAAACTCCATCATGTTCTTGTTTGCCGTGTGATTTTTACTCTCACTCCTCTTTGCATTTACCTAATCAATCGACTAACGAAAAAGTTGATTTTTACTTTCGTTTTTTTCGACCTTTTTTTTCCCCCTCAAGTTGATAGAATAATATTCTAGTACTTGGCGAAGGGAAAAACGAAAAAATCCAAGGACACCATAAATGACAAAAAAACGTCATAACACTCGGAGAAAATATAATTACGAACGCGGATAATAACATCATAGTGTGTGTGTGTGTGCGCGCGCGCTTACGTAAAAAAAAAAAAAAAAAAACAAAACACCTATACGCAAAAAGTAAAAATAAGTCATAACAGCCAATGGTGGACATAATCGGCCTTTCTCTCTTATCACCGTGATGGTTGTACGCGCGTGTACGTGTATGTACATATAATGTAGACCAAACGTAGTAAGAAAGGTATACGGCTAATATATAAAATAAATTATAATACGAGGTAAGTAGAAGAAAATGTAGTGCGGAAGGGCATTTATGGGCCAGTCGATGCGTGACTACTGCGCGCGTATACATAATGTACCCACCTACGTATACGTGCGTGTACATATTATAGTCACGCGCCTCGCTCTTCGGGGGACCACCTGGTGCAAAATGCCGCACGTGTCGCGTCGCGCGCCGGACACCATGAGGGTCGAATGTGTCGAATCGTTTAAGCTCCTCTCTGTCTTGCTTCGTCCCATGTAATTAATAAATTTTTCGGGGGGCGTACCCAGTATTTTTTTTTTTTTTTTTGGGCGAAGGGTGCATGTGTATAGGAATGCGATTGGTACTGATATGCGCTAGAATCAATAGACGTTCTGTTTTTTGTAAGATAATATGGTAAAAAAAGAAAAAACATTTTAACTCTTTACTATTACGCCGCAGCGATCGTTTTAATATTTACGCCACAGCAGCTGATGTACACACATTGCAATTTACGTGCATTAGGAATGTAAAAAATAATAGAAAATAGGTAAAAAGAATTATATGTCATGGAAAAATGGAGATTTGACGGTGAAGATTTTTACATATGTGAACGGTTGGGCCATCAAAAAGAGCGACCATTTTACCATTTTTCCTCTCCACTCTTTTTATCTTTTTTATTTATTTCTTTTCATTTGCACGCTATACCTAACATATATAACAACGCCACGGCGCTGCTTTCATTCTCCTAATGTGTATAATTGAGGTTTCGTGCGTAGGCTCCAACTGTTACATGCAACAAATAATATATATATTACAATTATCACAGAAGCCGATTAACGTATGACATATAAGGTATGGCTATAGTTAGTCCTAACGGCTTATTTTTTTTTTCTCCGATTGGAGCTGCTCTCTTTTCGCTTCGTATCGACACTGATGTCGGAAACGGGGTCCACTTATGATTTTTTTATTTTTTATTTTTTTTTATTACTGTTTACAACAAAACTGCAAAAGTTATTTAAAGAACATTGGTTACTCGAAATGTTCCAAGGAAAGCTGCAGACTGCGGGCCCAACCGAGATCGAATTACATTATAGAGCACATCGTCGATCAACGGGAGCAAACAGCCTACACGGGTGCGACGCTGAATCGGATTTCCGCCAGTAGTAAGTGTTATATATATACACGCACTTTTGTGGCGTGGTGCGACGGGGCGCGTGCCGTACTTATAAATACCTACCTATTGCTTTCTGCGCATAAGCATTTCTTCCTACGTATATGTAGATATGATATATATCACGTGAAAATCTGTGGCCGATCCATCACCGAACGCTTGTTAAGTACTCGGACGTCGGCCCCATTGTGTTATTTCGTTGTATCGTCTTATATTGTTCACTCGAGAGTCCGTACAATATATATATATATATATACACACCTATGCAGTACATCATGTCGAGTAGTATAATGCGTGATGGACTTTCGCTAAAAGAAGCTGCTAGGAATTAAATACATTGTATTGTATGTGGCTTAGCGACGGGGTTGGATTTACATGTAACGGATATACCTATACGTACACGGTCTTTCAGCTAACTACTTTTGGATGGACTGGGAGACCAGGCTCGGTTCGATTTTAGTCCACCAGTGAATGGACAAAGGGTTGATTATTGAAGGGCAAAATGTTCGTCGAGTCGGCATGCGCCGTCAGTCGCGTGTTAAAATTAATACCTATGCGGTGGACTGAGCTCTTGGATTATCGTATAACCTTTTATTCGTTACAATATACTTATGCGCGTATGTGTCGTTTATTACTTTTTTTGGCCATTTATGGGCATTTGACTCTTTCGATCTCGAACGGTTGCCGCTGATTTAATTTGTTGATACATAACTATATATTATACACAGACCGATGATGCGCCAATCGCGTCTCGAGTTACATATGCATCAATTAATCGTCCGTCGTCGACTTGATCGTCATACTTACTACAATGTGAGCGTATCTGATTTATCTGAGCAACTATTACACTATAGGTACTTGAAACTCGTGGTTCTACGAAAGCATTGGAAGCGCACTCCTCGTGCTATCCATTCGTTCAGTACCCATAAGTATTATTACTTTATATGCATGGTCTACTTGGTCGGTTCGTATTTTCTCTCTCCCTTAACACAACATCACTGCTGCCGTCTGCCGTTTCTCCGTCGTAAGTAAGTATAGGTACATGTAACGTGAATACGCGGGACAAGTGAGTATAGAAGACGAAACTATCCGAAAAGAGTACCTATAGGTATGTAGATAAATAGTAGTCATGGCCCATTGTCGAGCAATTGAGGCTCTCGATGCTTGGAAAAAGGAGGGTCAAGCTCGGTGATACACATGTATAATAATAATATGTATTATACAATTTATATATATATGTATATGTATATATAGGCAATGTACCTATAGACGGAAGATGCTCAATTGATTTCNGCAAACATTATTATTATTATTATTATTATTATTATTACTATTGTGTTGTATATATATATATATATACATGTGTATATCAGACATACAAACCAAATGACCACGTTGTTTCCGTGTACAGGCTACTCGTGCTCGTGTTCGCCGTTCGAGTGCGTTTGTGGAAGTATAACCCCAGTCTACCCAGGACGCCAGAGTTCCTACCAGATGGTTTCTCAGCAACAGCACCACCATGAGTCACTGACGGTACAGAGTAACCACCACCAATATCACCAGGTTAACACGAGTCCGAATAACAATAACAATGGCTATCACCAAATGATGACGGGCAACGAAGCCCCAACCTATAGTTGGCCCCAAGAGGCGGCCGCCATGGAACAGTCAAGTCTTGGCTATCTTTGCGGTACAGCGGATCTCGTGCCTCAAGAGGTCTCGGCCTATCCTACGGTGGATGGCTTCGCCGGTGATCTCTTTCAGCCAGAGGAGATATTTCAGTTGGATCAGCCGATTCGACCGGACTTTGCACCTAACAACAACAACAACAACAACAACAACAATCATAATCACAATAACGGCGGTGGCGGTGGTGAGGTTTCATCGAGGTCGCCGTCGAGTCTGTTGGACCTGAGCAGCGGTACCATAAAGTACGAGGTGCCGGACATGCACGAGCAGACCTACTGGACTCAGCTGTTAAGCGAGGACTCGAGCAGCAGCCACGTGAGCGCTGCCCCGAATCACGACTGCGACAGGGGAGACTGCGTCGTCGGACCTCTGCACGCCCAACAGAGCTACGATTCCGCGAATTACTTGCAAGCTCAAGCGAGCTGGCCAACGTCGGCTCAGCAGCCGCGGCCACCGACACAGCAGCACGAGCCTCATGGCTACGCGAGCCAATTCGATTCCAGTCAATCTAGTCAATCCCCGGTGCCCGAGGCAACTCCCCCATTTATCGGCTACGAGGGTTACCACCACCACCACTCCTCCCAGATGATACAGCCTCAATCCCCCAGGCAGGCGTACCAGCAACAGTTGAAGAATCCCGAGGTGTGCTTCTACCAGCCGGAAGATAGGTGCCACCAGTACAGCTGCGGCGATCTTCTGGACAACCGGCTCACTCAGTCGGCCAGCGGTATGGGATACGCGCAAGTCACGGACTTGGATTTGCCACCCTTCATCGATTACACGCTCGTTGGAATGCTCTGCAATTCCGGGGAGGAGCATCAGTCGTTTCAACATCAACAACAATCACAGCAACCGCAGCAACAACAACAATCGTCTCAGCAGACAGCACACAATAGTCCGTCTATTATTCAGCCACCTTGTCAAGGCTATGCATCCCATCACTAAGTACCTATATAGGCCGGCAAGTCGCGTTCGTTCTACACGTCGTTGTACTTATATACCTTTTTCTATGCGTAAGTACTTTTTACCACCCAAGAAAAAAGTACTATATTGATCAACGATATTTTTACGTTCTTGGGAAAACTTGCACCAATTAACTAGTAAGCAGTACTTAGCTTTTATCATGATGTAAAAATATAAGATGTGGCGTTCCGAGGTCTCATTTTCGTACCGTTCTGCGCCTTCCATCACGACGCCATATTTGAGGGAGATGTTACTACTACAGCGCCGAAGAGCCTGTACAATGAAACCAAGTGGTCAAAGTTGAAACTAAAACCTATCCCTCGCATCCATCTCGAAGTGAGACATATATATATATATATAGATGTAGACATACGTATGAACATACATGTACGTCAATTGATGAATGATTACCTATTTAGTCAGTTTTTTCTGAGTAAATATTCACGAATTGTGCGTTTGGTTACTGAAACAGCTGAAATGTGAATATTAAAATAAAAAATATATATTGTTTCACGAGTTTCTTCGTGTTAATATGATTTATATTTCAAAAGTTTTTGAATTTCGCAGACAGACATGGCGGCGCGATGGAAGCGTTCCTGATTGGTCAATCGAAATGGATGCGCAACGCCACACCTTATCGGACCTTACATTCTTACATCATGGCTTTAATAATGACAAACACGATTAGCAAAACAGAAAACTGATTTTATTGTCAGATGATGCCCAACATTTTATACCTAGTCACGACGAATAAGGGCCATTTCCGATTTGTCATTGAAACATTTGCTCAAAATTTCCGTTAGACTGAGAGCAAAATATACTTTTGGCGCTTTTTGTACAAGAGTTAAATATCATCCTTTGGTAAGGTAGATTTCTGTATAATGGACAGTTTATGTTTTAAATACTTACAAGAGAAATACTTTTTTTTCGTAAATCTATCTCACCTGATGTAGAGTTACTGAGGCCTATCAAACGATTTTTAGATGAAAATTATTTTTATTGATCTTTATTATCATACACGTGTAAGTTATTAGTAAAAAGTTATTAAATTTGAGCTAGCTTACCCTTATTTGTATTTTAAAGAATATGCTGAAAGCTCAGTGACTTTTAAAGGTACACTTATTTCTAAATTGAAATAATCATTAAAATTTACAAGTCACCGTCATTCGGAAAGTGTGATTTTTGGCGTCTTTATATATATTATATACCTGCCTGCGCAAACTGTACTATGAAGACATTAAATTTGTTTGTTTAATCGCGCACTTATACGAACGCTATTTACTATTGTCGTTTGGTAACATTATTGATGCGATGAGAAACGAAAAAGTACTTCAATTCGTTTATTACAATTTTGCACAATACTTTACCAGTTCCTTGGAAATTTATGTTTCAAGTAAGCATTAGGAGTTTGATGTAGTGAAACAAAAAAATACGAGTAAAATTATCACTGTTTTTCCGATAAAAATTCAGTGAATTTTTGTACATATTACTATGACTATTGTTATTATTATTATTATTAATGTGCATTAGTGCAAAAAAATATTGTACATAAAATGTTAATTAAAAAAAAAAAAAAAG